CGGCCGCGGGTCTGGGCACGATGGTGACGCAGCCGGTGCTCCGACCCGTACAGATCATGCAGAACGCCAATCACGTCACGAATTCTCCGGTGACCAGCCAGCCCATCTTCATAACAACCCAGGTGGGTGCCCTTTAGGCGGGAGATCCGCGGTGCTCGTCCGCGGAAGCCTCTCCTCTCTGTGGAGCAACCACGCGTGCCGGTTTCGCCTCTCCCTGCGCGCTTGAGCGGACCTTGCGCTTGGGTTTAGGAACAGCTTCATTTTGGAAATAGCTCCAGCTCCTGGGCTTTTTGCAGTTGAATCCCACTTGAGGAAAATTGGCCATGTTCCACACCCCAGCAGGGCCCATGGAGCCGGTGGGGTCTGATGGGGCTTTGCGCTGCCCCTCCCTTCCAGTCACGCTCCCCGGGAGCGTGACTCCAGCCGTAGGTGGGTCTGTCTGGTCTCCGTGCGTCAGACTTTTTTTTTTAATGACTTTGCTTTATTTTCCTGGAAAACCCACAGATAATATTTTTAAATGTCCACTGGTGCCTTTGAGCATTTGCTGAGACCTGGGAGAAGGTTTCGGTCGGGGCTGGGGGAAGGAGAGGTTGAGAGCAGAGGCTGTGTATCAGTGGAGTAGAGTACAAGACACCCTACCATAGGGCCAAGGTGCTGGCCGAGAGCGCTGCGGCCTCATGGCTCGGTTGATGTACCCCTGTTAGCACTGTGGGGTGGGTTTTCAATGCGTTTATTTGCTTTTTGGGGTAGAAAGCTCCTGTGGAAAGCACTTCCGGTCCGCTCGGTATGGTAACAGTCCCGTTTGACTGCAGGGGTTTCCCGTGAGGAACGTGCGGCCCGTACAAAACACGATGAACCAGGTTGGAATTGTTCTGAATGTACAGCAAGGTCAAACAGTTCGACCCATCACCCTCGTCCCAGGTAAGGACAGACATGAGCCAAAGCCACGGTCGCGTTCCTTTTGAGCGTACCAAGGGTTAAAACCAGGAGCAGCCTCTGTGTAAGTCCCCTGCACATCCAGCAGCTCTGAAGAGGGCGGGTTCAGGTCTGGAGTAGGTGAGATTTGCCCATATCTGTGGCTTTAGTTCCACTAGTAGTTTTCCAGCAGGGTGTAGGCCCCTTGATGGATAACAAAGCACCGTGCAGAGTAGGGGACTTCCAGCTGGAAGGAATCTCTTATTCCAAGCTCCATGTAATCCAGCCTCTTCCAAAAGCCTCTGCAGTTGACTTAATTCCCAAGTCCCGGCCCATCACCACCCCTCTTCCTTCCTTTCACAATCGCCCCATGCCATGCCAGTGCTGGGAAACCGCCTGGAAACCAAACTTCACCCTCGGGAGGATTTTCCAACGCGGATTTCTGCTGCTGGGTCCTGTCGTGCGCCATCGGAGGGACTAAGAACTCGCGTGTCTCCAGGTCCTGCCTCGTGACAGAGCAGCCGCGCTAGGGATGAGCCACCTTTCACTGTCCCCAGAATGAATCTCCGAAGTCTCGTATCGCAGACTGATGTGCAGCTGTAGGATCATCCCTGTCATAGGATCATCCCTGTCGTAGGATCGTTGGGGTTGGAAAAGACCTTTAAGATCGAGTCCAGCCGTTAACCCAGCACAGCCAAGGCCACCGCTAAACCGTGTCCATGCGTCTCAAACCCCTCCTGGGGTGGTGACTCCCCCACCCCCCAAGACAGCCCGTTCCAATGCCTGACAGCCCTTTCCAGGAAGGAATTTTCCTTAATATCCAACCTCAACCTCCCCTGGTGCAACCTGAGGCTGTTTCCTCTTGTCACTTGGTGAAGAAACCGACCTCTCCCTCGCTACCACCTCCTTAGGAAGTTGTAGAGAGCAGTAAGATCTCCCCCTTTCCCTGCCATAAGAAGCCTTCTGTGAATTTCCCCGTGGATCATGAGCTTCCAAGTGGAAATCCCACTGACTTTTCACGGGACTACTTGGGCCTTATGGAAAATTCCACCTAAAGAAGCTGTAAATGCTGTGCCTGTGTCCCTGTTCAGCTTGTAGCCCTCTTGGGAAGCGAAATTAAGGTGCTGAACGCTTCAAACTTCCACCAAAATTGCTGGGAATCTGGGGAGTTCCACAGCGTTGGTTACGCTCGGTTATTGCTGTCCAAGGAAAGGAATTCCATGACTTGATGAACCTTGTTTGTTCGTTTGTTTCCGAAGCCCCAGGTACCCAGTTTGTTAAGCCGACAGTTGGCGTTCCTCAGGTGTTCTCTCAAATGGCCCAGGTGAGACCAGGTACAACCATGCCGGTCCGACCCGCCACCAACACTTTCACTACGGTCATTCCGGCCACCCTTACCATCCGGAGCACTGTACCACAGTCCCAGGCACAACAGCAAAGTAAGTCCACTCCCAGCACCTCCACAACACCTACTGCAACGCAGCCAACACCTCTCGGACAGTTAACTGTGCAGCAGCCAGGGCAGTCCAGTCAAGCTACTAACCCCAAATTAGGTAAGACCTGCCGTGGAAAAGCAAGGGGCCTCGAGCAGATAACCTGTACCGTGACCTCCGAACGTACGGCGCCGCAGCTAAAAGGCAGGAGTCGAGTCAGAACTCCGGGGCTCTTTTCGTTTTGCCTAGCGCTGACTCGGCGTGTCGTCTCTGCCGAGCTGGGAACTGCGGGCGATGCCGCCAGCGTTGCCCGGTTGGGTTTGAGATCTGGGTAAAGCTTGGGTTGTAGGACGTTCTGAGAAGCGTTGGATACGAGTCCCCTCAAGTGGAAAAGCCTCTCCATTAACCCCTTGTGGTGTTTGAGAGGCGGAGTTAAACCGCAGGGTTTAAGGTTCCGGTGAGGAACGCAGGGGAAGCTAACCGCGTCGCTCGGATTGGACCGTTGGCTGAATCTGGGAGTGAGATGGTCACCCAGGAATAGCGGCAGACAAAAAGGGAACGAGCCCATCCCGCAGCGAGCGGTCAGGTTATGGTTAGCTTTCAGTTGCCGCGATCACGCCGAGCTGCAGCTTAGCGATAGAAACGCTTTCTGTCACCATCAGTATCCTGTGCAGTTCACCCTGGGACTTGGCTCGCCGCTTCGGAGCGCGATCCGGGAGCTCGGGGCAATCCCCTTCCCCGGTCTTGCCAGCCTTTGCGTCACTGGATAGGATAATTGATGGCTCAGCCACCTTTGGTGGAGACTCGGGGTAGGAGAGCAAGAGCCGAGGCAGTGCTAGGTGAGGGGGGGACTCAGGCAGCGGATCGGATCTTCCTGACGCCTTATTATCCGTTACTCGTTCCCTTGGCAGTGAGCATTGCAAGCTTTGTGACTGTAAAGAGACCGGGAGTGACTGGGGAGAACAGCAACGAGGTTGCTAAGCTAGTGAATACCCTGAACACCGTTCCTTCGTTAGGACAGAGCCCCGGCCCGCTGGTGGTCTCCAACAGCAGCCCTGTGCACGGTTCCCAGAGATCCAGCGTTTCGGAGTCCTCCTCCTCCTCCTCCTCGTTGAAAGGTAGGGTCCTGCAGCGCCCGGCGCTGCTGAGAATGCACAAGGCCGTTAGCTGGGGGTGAAAAAACCTGCGGAGGTGTTGGGGATCGAGGCTGGGGGAGCCTTGCCGTGAATTCCTGCAGCCACACGCTTTCCTCCGGCGAGCCTCGCTTTGCGTTCCGAGTTAGCGGCGTGCGTGCTGCCGTCCGGAGGGTACGCACGCCTCCGGCCCTCTGCACGAGGGGGCCGAAGGGCACCGCCGGGGTATCTGTTCTCTTCTGTTACAAAAAAAAAAGCACCTTCCGGTGGTGTTTGGGAGTCCTGAAGGTGACACGTCACATGGGCCGTATTCCGAGTGTCGGAGAGCTGGGGGGGTGAAGATGAGTCTGGAAAACCCAAGCAAACCGATGATTACAGAGAAGGGGGGGTTGAGTTGCTATTTCTTCCTTCTTGTTTCGCTTATTTGAGTCTAATTTTGAGACACTCCTTATTCCGGGATGCGTTTTGTCATATGGATTGTTAGAAGTTGGGTTACTTCCACCCTTTCCATGCCTTTTTCCGGGATGGTTGGTGGCTAAAAGCACAGCTCTCCAAGCTTGAGCCTTTCCGTACGCCAAATAACGCTGCCTGGATTTCAGTCGAAGCGTGAGGATTCCGTTTTTCCTGGGTTTGTTCCATGTTGTTTTCTTTTTTTCCCCTGGTACAGTCAGTTCATCTCCTATTCCCACCTTCGATCTGCAAGACGGCGGCAGGAAGGTCTGCCCGAGGTGTGACGCTCAGTTCCGAGTCACCGAAGCTCTCAGAGGACACATGTGTGTAAGTGGGAGCAGCGGGTGCGCGTGGAGGGCAGGGAATGGTTCTCCCTGGATCAGGGACTCCTGCGGAAAGAAGGCAGGAGGCAAAGGAGAGGCCTCTGGGAGACATCCCGCAGCATCCTTGGCAGGGAGCGGGCAGGACTTTGTCCTGTTGCTGCCAGGAGATACGTTTATTCCCTGATCTTATGTATCCACGAACAGCCAAGTGGGATATTCGCTCCACGTAGCTCTTCCCTTTGGAGTCTCCGAGAGTTCCTCCGGCTGCGTAATAGCGTACGCGTCGGTTGTCCGAGGTGCAGCTTAACGTAGGGTTGGGGTTTTTTATCTCCTTCTAGTACTGCTGCCCCGAAATGGTTGAATTCCTCAAGAAAAGAAAATCTCTAGAACCCGAACCAAATATTCAATCGGCAAAACCCCCGTCACCGGAAAAAACTACGGCCGTTGCTTCGCCACCCTCTTCTACTCCCATCCCTGCCCTGTCCCCGCCTGCTAAAGCTCCGGAGGCGAGCGAGAACGTGGCTGACTCGTCCCAGAGTAAGCTCATCATGTTGGTAGATGACTTCTACTACGGCAGAGACGGCGGCAAAGTGAGCCAGCTCCTCAGCTTCCCCAAGGTTCCCACCTCCTTCAGGTGTCCGCACTGCACCAAGCGCCTAAAGAACAACATACGGTAAGGTGACGCGGCGTGCCGCCGCCTCGGGCCCCGACGGCTCCTCTTGTAGCTTAAGGCTTATGCTCCCAGGGCTGGAGCCATGGGGACAGGCTAGGAGAGTTGGGGGGTTCAGCCTGGAGAAGGGAAGCTCCGGGGAGACCTCAGAGCCCCTTCCAGTGCCTGGGGGGTACAAGAGAGCTGGGGGGGCTTTTCCCAAGGGCAGGGAGTGACAGGACAAGGGGTGACGGGTTTGAACGGGAAGAGGGAGATGGAGATGGGCCATCAGGAAGGAATTCTTCCCGCAGAGGGTGGGAGCACTGGGCCAGGTTGCCCAGAGAAGCTGTGGATGCCCCATCCCTGGGAGTGTCCAAGGCCAGGCTGGATGAGGCTTGGAGCAACCTGGGCTATGGAAGGGGTCCCTGCCCATGGCGGGGGGGTTGGAACTGGATGATCTTTAAGGTCCCTCCCAACCCAAACCGTTCTGTGATGAAGGCCAAAACTGGGGGGAGGTTTGCCCGTCGTCGCACAGGGCAAAGTCGCGAGGAGGTGGCAGGGTTTGGGTAACTAGGGAAGCGTTCGCGCATCGCTGGGCCCGGTAGCCAACAGGAGATCGTTTTCCTTGAGGATCTGCTCATCTTTTAGCTTTTTCAACAGGAGGAGAAAACAAAGTTGGAAAATACTGTTTAGGACATAGCATTTTCTGAGCAAGCTGCTCTTTCCTGAGGCTGCAGGGGTTGGTCGTCACCAGTCGAGGGCCGCGTTGGGGCAGGATAGTGCAGCCCCATTCCTGCGAAACCTCCTCCTAGCTTCCCCCGGAGTTTGGGAGCGGGAGGTTGTGCGGTGTAGAAGGAGGCTTTCTTGTTTCCTCCTTGCTCTTCCCATCGGAAGCATCTTCACGCTGTCAGATCCCAGCACTTCAGGCGCGGCGTTGGCAATGCTCTCGGCGTTACGGGGCGCGGCGGTCGCGTTTCCGCTCACCCGCTTCCTCCCGTCCCGTCAGGTTTATGAATCACATGAAGCACCACGTTGAACTGGACCAGCAGAACGGAGAGGTCGACGTCCACACCATCTGTCAGCATTGCTACAGGCAGTTCTCCACGCCCTTTCAGCTGCAGTGCCACTTGGAGAATGTCCACAGTCCCTACGAGTCGACCAGTGAGTGGATTTTGCTGCTGTTGAAGGGGTTTAGGAGGGTCTGTGTTGTCTGAATTTGCTGATCCAGGGACAGAGGAGTGTGTTCCGCCTTGCCCTTGGAGCGTCGGCTGCGTAGGCCATCAGCAACATCCGTCTTGGTCGGGCACTGAACAGGCTGCCCGGAGTCGTGGTGGAGTCGCCGTCCCTGGGGGTGTTGGAGGCACGTGTGGACATGGCCCTTGAGGACAGGATCCAGTGGGATTGGGAGTGTTTGGGTGGTCTTACAGGGCTTTTCCAACCTTAGCGACCCCGTGATCTGTTACGTATCTGGGAACTTATGCCCAGGCATGTTCTAAAGATGGAGGTCAGCAATGACGTCGTGGTAGGATTTACGTCTTCTCCGTAGCTTGACGTCAATTTGAAGCAGCCGGAAGTTTCCTCGTTACGGTATCTCGCACCACTGTTCTGAGAGGGTGTTTGCTGCCCTTTTGAAACCTCTCGGGGTCTGTGGTGTTGCCTGCCCAGCTCACAGCTAGTTTTCTGGGCTTGGCGTGAGCCGTAGGGGATAGCTGTTACCAAAGCAGCGCGTCACGTTTCGGGGTGTCTTGTCCCCCGGCTCTTACCTGCTTTTCCTTCTGCAGCCAAGTGCAAGATCTGCGAGTGGGCCTTCGAGAGCGAGCCCATGTTCCTCCAGCACATGAAGGACACGCACAAGCCCGGGGAGATGCCCTACGTGTGTCAGGTACGGACAGTGGGGCGTGGGGGCTAGCCTTCCCAACCGCCGGCGGAGAACGAGGGGAAAGCGGGCGTTTCTCGGCCGAGCGTGCGGCTCGCGGTGGCCCAGAGCGGGCCGTGGGACCGTGCTGAGGGGTCTGGGAGCTGAACGTTTGCCGCGGTTCCCGGCGCTCCGAAGCTGGGCCAGCTCCGTGGACGCTCGGTTAGTCCCGTGGCGGTC